TGAACTATTTTCCATCTCATTTTTATTTTTATTTTTATTTTTTGGTTTCTTGAAGGATTAGCTTCTTAATTTCCATAGATTCATCCAGTTATGGGATTTAGAATGCTATCTGTATTAAATTATTAATAGACGGTCTAGATTTATCATTTCTTTTCTTAGAGGCCTATTTACATTCTTTCATTATCATGTAAGGCTGGGATGGAGTTGGGATGTGACCTCTTGGCTTAGCATACATCGTCCCTTTGCTTGTGAAGAGTGTGTTTGTGGACTAAGAACTCCCAATAGGGGCAACTTACTTGGGTTAGGCTGACTCGGGTAGCAAAGAGGCACGAAAGCCAGACGGGATTTTTTTGAAGTGACGAGGCAGGCTCTCAAACATCAATTTGTCTTAGTTGATTTAGTTCAATAAATTATGTTAGTCCTTCTCACATTTTTACATTTTCTCAAAATCTATGCGAATGGACATATTTACTAATTGCAAAGAAAATTCGGCATATTAATGTTTCAAAACTGCATTCTTGTGAGTTCCTTTGTGATTGGAAGCTTTCGCATCTGACTCTTCAGCTATGTTCATGTATGCCTAACCTCAGTAGTGAGGTAGAGAATGCCATGTTGGGGCTTGGCCCTCTCTTACGGGATGGATTGAAATGGTTTAACATTAGAATGACAAAAAATGAGGGACTGGTTGCTAGACTAAGAATCAGAGCCTAGAGAGAAAGTGTTGTTGCATTCAGTGGTGGACTATGACTCATCATACTCCTAAGGGACTAGGTGCCCTAACATCTTTTATGGGGTGCTGTGAACATTCGCTATGACACCAAGTTGTATAGTAAGAAAGTTCCGGCCTAAGCACTCTAGTAGTGATCCGTTTTATGTTTCTCCAAACTAGGCTCAACACTCCTGTTACTTCCAAAGATAATTCAAACTGTGGACTCATTAGTGACGGACAAAATTGAATCTTCCCCTTTGGGTTAAGGAGTTGGGCCTTTGAAATTTATGTAAAATGGGCCCTGCTGCAAATTGTGGTCCATCAGGATTCACCTCCCGTCCTACTATGACGAGCCAGTCTCTTGGTGACCCTTTGTTGGTCAGTGATATGTTATCAAAGTTCAATGGCACCACAACCTAGGTGTCAGAGCTTTGCTAGATTATTTCATTTTTCCCTCACTCGATTTACCGAAACCACTGTAGTAAAGCATTTTCTGGATGACTCCATAGCCATGGAATGGTCGATGCTTTATGTGGTGCCCCTGTTGAGAGTAGTGTAAACAAGCTTGTACCCACAACTGTGAATGGTATAGCCAGAGTCGAAGCCATTGACAGGGGCTCTGGTTCCACATCTTTCATCTTCTATTCCTCCAATGGGTTTATGTTTTTTTTCTATGATTTTCCTTCACCGCCACATGTAACAAGCTCTTTGCTTTACACTTTGGTGGCCTTCTCTTATGTGAATGGCTATTGTTTAATTGCAGCTGTCAGATATAGGCTATCCCATCTGGCAAATTGAGACCATACATCTGTTTTGTGATCCAGATTCCTGATTTCCACCCTCTGGTTGAGTTGATGCCTCTGGTATAATTATATAGTTGTTTGATTGAGGTTTAAGTAGCTTATTGTGAGGAAGTGGTGGGCTTATACTTGATCATCCTTGCCATTGAATAATGTCGGTGGCTGTGTCAATTAGTAAGGGCTGTTTGATGGGCCACCTTCGGCAAGGACCTCATTGTAACATGTAGGCTCCAACTTCATATGCTGAGTGTGATGGCATGGCTGATTCTCCTTCATGTGCTTGAATTTATCAAATTGTATTTTGAAGATTTGTGTTGGTGAAATTGAGATAATAATGGATCTTTGTTTGACTTAGGTTTGATAGTCAAATTTGGAGGAATTATTGGATCTGGCTTTCAAATTTGAATCTTCCTCTCATATAAGATTTGGCCCAACTGCCTTGTCCTGACATGTAACTTATTTGCTGAGGACCAATGAATTTTTAGTCTGCGGTTAATGTGTTCTCCCCGTCATCATCCTCATTCTTTCTATATCTCTTACCATTTCGCCTTACTTCACTACTGGTTTCTTCTTCTCCGGCGAGCAGACTTTAACCAGGCAGCTACCAATCCTCTTTATCCATATTTCTCTTGCCGCCTTTTTTATCTTTGGTATGAGTTTCGCTTTCTTGGGTGGCAGCTGGTCATCTTCGATCATGATATCAGTTCTAAACCCCTGACCTCCTGGCATCAGAGTTAGAAACTTTCGGACAGAGAACACTCTGTTGTTTAAATCTTCATATGCATGTTGTTAAATTCTCTCCAGAAATGGACCCCCCAATCCAAGTGGGTCCGACACATAGTTACCGGAATCTCTCCACTGACCTCGCGTTTTTTATTTCGAAACCCGATTCTGCTTTTTTGTTAAGGAATCTCCATGGAAGCCGTTTTTCGGAACCAAGGAAACTCGATTCCTTTATTTCAGAATCTCGATTCGACACATCTTTAGATACCATTTTTCGGAAACAAGGAAACACAATTCCTTAATTTCAGAATCTCGATTCAGCACATCTTTGGAAACCATTTATCGGAACCAAGGAAACTTGATTCCTTAATTTCGGAATCTCGATCCAACACATCTTTAGAAACTTGAACCCATTAATTGTGGGTAGATGTTCCCAAATATATTGAATCTGGATTCCAATGAGGATTAAATCTTGATTCCACGTCAATTGAAGTAGAAATCTTCTTTCGAATGCTTCTAATGGTTCCATGGTTTCTTTATTTTACTTGTGCCACCCTGGATCTCCTTTACTTTAAATTTAAAATAGGAAAAAATTTATATAAGGTTGCAACCTTAAAATGTAGAACTACAGATGCACCTCAAAAATCCATCGAAAAAGGTTATTTTAATGTTGAAAAACCCTGTGATTGATCATCTCAACATTGAGATGTATGACTGTGAAAAATAAAAAGATCTTGAGTCTCAGAATATATTATGATAAAATTTGAAGATGCACCTTAGTAGGATTGTTTAAGGTTGTAACCTTATGGAAACCACACCCTTTAAAATATAACTGGTAAATACAACATGTATAATTAAAAGTAAAACCATGGTGTAGACATAATTCTATTTTGTCTTTATAATAATGAAGTCAAGATCACAATTTAGAAATACTTGTCGTTTGTATATAATGGCCGTAAGTTTAATAGTCAACACAATCACTTTAAAATTTGGAAAACCTTCTAATAAGAAACATCCAATATAGGTTCTAAAGTTGATGAGGCTCAAGATGTGCTTGTCGCTTCCTTCTCCCTAAAAACAAAATCTCAATTCCTGGTAGGGGTCGTCAAATGCATTCCATAGTCCATGTTATTGTAAATCTCGATCTCAAACTGTCATGGATCTCTGATCCATATACTTCAGAAACTTGATTCCAAATATGTTAGAATCACGATTCGAAATATCAACATATCTCTGTTCCACATATGTCAGAAACTCGATTCCATAGATGTCGAAAACTCGATTCCACATATTAAGGAATTTTGACTCCTGGAGTGTCGATTCCGGGGGATGGAACTCTCGATTCCAAGGAGGACTGAATCTCGATTCCATATATGAATGAAACTTGGATCTATTTCGGTCGAAACACGATTATCAAAAACTAGGAATCTCGTTCCTAGCGATTCCTATTGTACGGACACCGATTCCTAAGACGGGAATCTTCGATCTGGTCATGATTCCGCAATTCCGGTTCCTAAAATGATTCGGGTTCTCAGGCGTTTCCAACAACTATGGTCCTACACCGTCATGCCTCTTCCCAATTTTATAGAAAACCACATATGTCCAGGTATGGATAATGATGCCCTTGACTTTGATCCGTAAGCTTATTTTGGCTATGAGAGAGCTTGTGAGGGTCTCAGGGTTTTAACTGCAACAATGCCTCTTGACTTTCCATATCTTTGAAGCCCTGATGCAGTCTGCCTCATCTATTGAGTATAGAATGAAGATCGCATCTCCATTAGTAAGGTATTTGTAGACCACCAGTGCACTTCTTATCCACACTCTTGAGGCCCATTTCTCAAGTTCACGCAGGTTTCTATTTTTGCCATTATACGAAGGCAGTCCCAAGGTGAGGCAAATGGAAGTTGAAATTTATACTCTTATATAATACTTTTTGTTACATAGAGTGTCATAAAAAAACGTGATTATTGTTTGAAAATTCGGCCGCCTAGAAGGCTGCCAAAATGCCTAGGCCTAGGCCTGCACACAGAGTGCCTTGCTCCTAAGCGCCTTCCTAGGCGGCACCTTTGCGATCGCCTCAAGGCAGGCTTCTTGGAAGGGGTGACCAATGCTACGTTCACACATGTATCTCTCTCACTCTCGAACTTTTGAAAGAAAGACGTGTATCCATCTCGTGTGCTGCCATCCCCTTAAAAATATTAAAAAAACGGTGACCTTATGCAGCCCAGAATATTGCTCTCTAGTATATAGACAAGAGAGATAAGCTTAAAGTTTATAAGAGGAACTACATAAGGGAAAATTAGTTATTGAGTCTATCATTTTATGTCTTTTATTTATTTCTTGAGCCTTTTTGTTCACTTAAATAGTAATATGTCTAGTATTTTATGTCTTTTTATTCACTTAAAATATTTTTTAATAAAGGGCCATGATTAGATTAGGTGGATGGCTAGCACTCGGTCTTAGTCGAAGACATTGGCAATTGCTTCCTTCCTACCATATTGAATTCAACAGCATTAAATGATTCAATTATAAATCAAATCAAAAAGCCTTTCTAGTAGAAAGAATAGAGGCATAATTCTTCATTCATTCATAAGCATTCTATCTGGTAGGTTAGTAAGTCCATTATCTTAATTAATCAATTGATGTTCATCAGAATCGAAGTACACTAAAAAATTGCACGGAATGCACTCCCAACTGGGGGGCCCTTCCTGCATGTGTCAATCCATAGCTTCCGCTCCCACCCCCACCCCCACCCCCACCCCCACCCCTGCCTCTGTTTCCGCCCCTGCTGTCACTCCAAGCATATATGCTTTGAACCACCATTTTGGGACTCCATTACTATAAATCAGCTATTGCTGTTAGAGAAGCCAGTGTCATTTTTCTTTGTATCTGAATCCTGCATGTTTGATGTATTGCACATCAGTAGAAATTTCTTGAAAATTGTCATGCTTTATTGAATTTGCTGAGATTCTTTTCTTTCAACATATGATTACCTGTAAATAAACTCAACCAAGTGATTAACATTACAGATTTGTTTCCAGAGGTTCTTTGATAATATGCTCTTGATGATTTTGATGTATTTCATTTTGAGAATTTGTACTTTCCAACCAATTTCTTTTAGTTTCCTTCATCTGATCTACTATGTGAACCATGAATGTGATCTCTGATGGTTACTTCAAATTCTTGAAGTTTCATTCAAGCTTGAATCTGAGAAATTTGTGTAGATGCCTGATGGATCTAGCGACAGAGAACCGCCTAGCAATGATGCTATTGGAAGAGGCAAGGAAGTTGAGGGAGCAAGCCGACAAAGAGGGAGTTCATGTTTACTTGAGGCAGCCAAAAGTTAGGGGTCGACCCAACTCACGGTTTCTAACTGCCACTGTTCGTGGTGTGCAACAAGGTTGGTTTATTTTTATTGTATTTTGGCATCCCTTTTTGCTGTTCCTTTTTGGTGAAATACCGTGTGTGGAACATTCACATAAATGGCTCAGGTGCTCTAGAAACACAGAATCTCAAAGCTTTACTTGGACTTGTCCTTTTTCCCTAAATGATTATTTTACCCTTGCGTTATTTTACTAAACCACCCTTGTTTATCCTACCAAAGATTGGGTAAAATACTTATATTGGATAAAAACAACTCTAAAGCCACAGTTTGTGATTTTTGAGTTTCTTTAGCACCAACATGTTTAGGTAAAAACAACTCCAAAGATTGGGTAAAATACTTATATTGGATAAAAACAACTCTTAAAGCCACAGTTTGTGATTTTTGAGTTTCTTTAGCACCAACATTTTTAGGTAAGTGTGCCAGGCACTGTTTTGATTTTTTTTATTTTTTTTTCCTTTTCTTTGGGATAAGTCATCTTGTTTTTTGTTTTTTTCCTTGTAGCCGCACAAAAACAAAATTGAAACCTTGTGTTGTTTTTTCATCCATTGTAATTTGAGAAAGTGGTTTCTCCAGCAAATCGAGCTGCAGAAGTGAATGAGATGTGGCGTCTCAGAAAGAAGGAACTCGAATTAGACAATCGCTTGAAAGATTCACGGGATAAGGAGGGACCTAGGAGAGACAGCCACCATCACCACGAGAGCAGTGATGATATCTTGAAGGAAAGCTCGCGTAAGAGATGTAGAAGAGACAGTCACCACCATGTTGAGAAGGTCCATAAGACTCGCTCTTCAAAGAAGAGCTCAAGTTCGAGATTCATGTCAGATGACTCGTCACTATCAGAAGAGATGAGAGAAAGGGACCTTGATAGGAGGGATGAGGGCATCCATAAAAGGTCTGCATATCTGCACAGATCACCAGGCCATCGAGGGAATCAAAGTGATGGTGAGGATTATTCAAGTGATGATGGTAGTCTTAAGGATGAAGAGGTGGAAGAATTTCTCCACTCAAGGTATTGCGGTTATTGCCTCTTACCCCACCACTTACATCTCTTTCTCTCTCTGTCTCTCTCTCTCTCTCTCACACACACACACACACACATATTAGCGTTAGTGGACTCAGTCAAGTCCACTCAGACTCGGCTGACTAAGTCAGCCTACCCCTAGTAGCGAGGCAAGTTAGGCGCGAGTTGGGTGCCAAACTTGCAGGCCCAAAATAACTCCTAAAAAAATGAAAAAAAAAAAATTCCTGTATATTTGTAAGAAATAACTTTTTGGAATATTTTGCTAGTTTTTAATATCACTTGGAAACTTTCACATTTTCTTTTTTAAAAAAAAATTTCTGAAATATTTAGGGTATAAATCCCTATTGTATAATCCATCTTTATAGATTTTTTCTATTACCTTTTTAGTCCTTCAATTGTACTTTTACTATTAACCCTGTTAGT